CCCTGCAAACACCCCTCCTGTCCCACCCAAGCGGCCTGGCTGGGGGCACCCTGCCCCCCGAGACAGCTGTGGGACAGTCACAGTGGGCATTGCCACAGGGTCTGGTTTATGTTCCACCTGCCCAGGTCTGAGCCTCCCCCATGCCCCGGGTGGGCCCCGGCCCCGCTGCTCGTGACTCACCCACCCAACGCGAGCGGACCCGCCGGCTCTCCTGCCTCCCTCCCATCCCGGTGAAGACGTTATTTTTATCTCAACCACACCAAGAGATGCTCATTTATTTTAAACACTAAAGCGTCTGTGGGCTGTTTCTAGAGCCCAATCCTAAAGCTGCCATGAACAACAGTCCTTACCTGCTCTTTAGGAGCTCAGCCTTTGGGGAGCCAGAGCAGGGCTCCAAGCTATGCTGGTTAAACACCCTTCACCTTTTCCTCCATGGCTGTGCAGCCCCACAGGTGAGGTCACCCACCCGAGAGGAGGTTTTCACCTGTGGGGCTGCATGTAAAGATCAGTGGCACAGGCTGAGGCTGCCCAGCCTTCGGGAAGAGTGGGTGACAGCACAGGGGCATGTGCACCATTGCCTTTGTGCAACAGCCAGTTTTGGGGGTACAGAAGGGTCTGGATGCAAGGGATCACTGGGCATTATTGAGGGCAGCTCTGGTTTGTACTGATGGGACCTTCATCAGGGGCTCCCACTTCAGATTTGAACAGCAGATGGATGAGCTTTGTGGGCCTTGCTGGAGCATGGAGCTGCTGGAGAGGCTGGTCCTCCTCCCAGCCCTGCCCGTGGATAACACCAAGATAACAGACAAGAGCCCCAGCTGGAGGGGTTTATACATTCAATTAACCACCACAGCCAGAAGGAATTAAATCATCTGAGGCAAAGAAGCTGGAGGAATGGGGGGGTGGGAGAAGTTATTTAAAAAGCAACTGCACTAAAACATCACTACATTTACACAATTAAAGTTAAGACTTCAGTTTCCCTCAAACTACACATTATAGTCCATGGTTTAGAACCATTGGAAGACATTTCAGCTGCTATGTCAACCACTGATTTTCACATTCATTTTATAGTTTTGCTGGCTTTCCTTGACAGTCACCTTATTCCCCATTTTTCCTTTCTAGGACACACTGTTTCCCTGCCACCTTGGAGTGTGTTGCTGTGCCCTCAGACCCCCGAGTGAGTGGGAAACACAGTGCCTGTAGCGCAGCCCTCACACACCAAATCCCTCTGCACCAGGACCAGGCTCTCACCGAGCAGCAACACAGCACTGCAGCCCCCAACCCCCTTCCCACTCACGTCAGCAGCACCAAATCCAAAGAAATTGGTTCTCACAACCAGGAACCCCCTCCCAAACCCTGCCCAACCCAGCAGCTGGTGTAGATCCTCCCTCAGCCTCGAGGGTGAAACCTCCATCCTGCTAGCAGGCTCACCCCCTACCAACCACCACAGGGGCTGCCCTGGCAGGGAGGGGCTTGTCTCTAGTCCTCAGGTAAGTAGTTGGTGGCAGCTGTCGGCCCCATTCCCAGCTGGTTAAGCACCCACAGCTGTGCCGTGCCCCGGGGGTTGGGTCCAGCCTGGCAGGGAGGAGTACCCGGACCTGCTGTTTGTCCTGGCCACAAGGCAGGGAGTTCATTAAACTGGTTGGGGTTTGCTGAATGGCTGCAGCGCCTCTGCCCTTTCCGGCAGCAGGAGTGTCCAGGAATGGAGATTAAAGCACTCCCATCATTAGTGCTCTCAGTGTTGGGCATTGTTCTCACATCGAGCTGAACATGCAGACACTGATCTGGGGGGTTCCGGGAGTAACAAAGGACCTGAAGGGATCCGAGGATTTTTTTTCCCTGTCTCCTTTAGGTGATCTCTGAACCCCAGTATTTTTAACCAGTAGAGGTGGCTGGACCCGCCGTGTCCCTGAGCCCAGCACAGTCCCCGGCCTGGCTGGGTCAGTCCTTGGTCCCTGTCCATCCCGGGTGGCCGTGCCCCGACAGCCCCCAGGAGGTGGCAGCAGCTCCTCGTGCTCGTTTCCTGCGGTGGGAAATCAGCCCTCGGTCCCTTTCTGGAGGCTCCTCCGGTGGGCAGCAGCAGGCACAGCCGGGGATGGCCGACGGGCAGCCCGAGGGCACAGCCAGTCCGGGGGCCCGGGCACACGGGGTGCAGCAGGTCCTGCTGCTGCCGGACACGCCGTCGCTGTGTCCCTCGGCAGGAGGAAGGCTCGGCTGACGGGCAGGGGGAGGTTTCTTTGCCCCGTGTCCCCGTGCCCTGTCCCTCTGATCACTCGCATGTGGCCCCAAGCCCTCCCACGGTCCAGTCCGGGCCACTCTCTGCGGCTGCCAGGGCAGCAATGCCCTCATCCCTGTTCCATCCCTCTTCCCATCCCTGTTCCCATCCATCCCAGAGCGTGGCTGCCAACACAGCTGAACAGAGCCAAACGCCAGTTTTGCATGAGTGAATTTACTTTAGAAATGGACAACTTCTGGGACACGGTGACTGGTCAGCACGGACACCACGGGATCCCCTCATGTGACAGTGCCTGGGACGGGGCAGGGGAGCTGCTGGGGGGGCTCTTGTGGGGGTGGCTTTGCATCAGGCCCTTGGCACAGCTTCTTGGTCCCTTTTGTCCCAACCCCTCCCCGTGAGTGTGCTGCCCACACTGACCTCCAAGGGCTGACTCAATCCTGTAGGATGCTGTTGCCCTGGCAGCTGCTGCCCTGTTGTTCCTGTGCCAGGGATACCCTGTGGCCACAGCCCCATCTCCAGGATGCTGCTCAGCCACACATTTGTCAATCCCTGCCTGGAGACCACAACCTGGGACTGCCATTAGTCACTCCAGGATTATTGTAACCCCAGATCCTTGCTCTAAACACATGACAGTGGTGGGTTTCATTCAAATGGAGGGAGTGGGGTAGCACAGCGGGCACAGAGAGCAGTCCCTGAGAGCTATAGGGAGGTGCTTCATAATCCCAAGTGAGGTAGCTGTGTGACATGGTCCTGCTCCCCAGCAGGAGAGGACATGGTTGTGGGGGCTGTAGGAGCCAACACTGAAGGTAGATGCCCCTCAGGGCCTCTTGGCCCCTAGCCTGCCCTGCCAGGCACAGTTTTTAAGACAACCAAGTTCCTACTTGGTCATCAGAGCACCAGGATGAAAAACAAAGGCCAAGGGCCCAGAGAGCAAACGACAGGAGAGACTACCCTGGGCTGCACCCTGGGCAGATCTCAGGCACTCAGGGTCTGGTTTCATCCTTGTTTTCTCAAGTGCAAAGACCAGGCTCAGAGTTGCAAGAGCCAAACCAGAGTGGGAGGCAAGGCTGGTCTTACATTTTCACATCACTTCACCTACAGAACATCTGGGGACTCGCTGGGTACGTGGGTGAGAGAAATGCTGTGTTTGGGTTTGTCCTGCAGCGTGCTGGCAGGACAGAGCTGGGCACAGCCAGGCTCAGAGCAGGTCTTTCACCAGGGCTGATGGCAGGGCTTCCCCTGCCACGTTCACAGCGCCCAGGCCCGACCTCTTCCGTGTGACCAGCACCATCACCTGCACTGTCCTCTTCAGCCCCGGCTGGCAAGCAGCTCCATCGGCCAGGATGGCCAGGGGACCGTGCAGGGGGGAGCTGCTGGGTGCCTGGGGCGGGTTGTAGCACTTGGGGTAGTTGCTGAAACACTCAAAAGCGTCGTTGCAGTTTCTGCAAGCCCCGGCGTGGTCACTGACACCCGGGGATGGGAAGGGCTGGAGTGCTGTGCTCGGGCAGCCGCAGCAGAGCAGGGGGCGGAGGGCCTGGAGGAGCACCCTGTCCTTGGAGAGGAACTTGTGGAAGTTGGGCTTGAAGAGCAGGTACACCAGCGGGTTGTAGAGTGTCGAGGACTTGGCAAAGACGGCCGACAGCACGAAGGCCAGTGCTGGCACCTGGCTGGTGTCCCCGAGCAGTGCCCACAGGGCAACCACGGCATAGGGGGTCCAGGCAGCCAGAAACCCCAGGCACACGGCAACGCTCAGCTGGAAGAGAAGGAAATGGAGATGGTGGTGCCAGGAGCCTCCCGTGGCACACACGGGACACTGACACCCCTTCCAAAACTCAGCCATGTGCAGCTGGACCCCAAACAGTGCTCACATCCCCAGGGAAAGGACCTCTGCACCTGTCACCCTGGAGCACTGTGATGTCAGACATCAGGGCAGCAACTCAGCACACCCCATGCATAAACCTGCTCTCACTTCAGGCAACTCACACCCTGTCCCACCTGGGAAACTTGGGAATTACCTCAGCCTTCCACAGGAGATGGGTACAAAGGACCCAGACACCTTGCTGGGACCAGGTCAGCATCAGACCCCAACAGCCTTTGGAAGCATTGAAAATCCCTCCAGCAATCTGTGTGCTGGCATGTGGGTTGACTGGGATGCCTGGAAATGGGCTGTGCTGAGCCCCTCTCCCCTGATCAGACACGGCTTGCCAGTCTTGCCAGGCTTGCAAGCTGTTTTCTTTCATGCTGTGTTTTTTTTAAAAGGGTATTCACTTTTTTTTTTTGACATATCCTTGGTAAATTATAGTATTAGCTTGTAGTCTGGGGAACAATGACTCATGCAAGCTCCTTTCTGATCTTTTCCAATGTAATTTAAAATGAAAACTCCTCCACCTGATGGCTTTAAACGAGAAATATGTTATTACCCACACTGACACAAACACCTGGAGAATTTATCAGGAATAGCAGACACGCGGCAGGAGGGGCCCTGCTGCATTCACCTGCCCACGGGGTGGGGGGGCTGGGGCACCCCGAGGCCCTGCAGCCCCCCGATCCCCCCTACCTTGAGGAGCAGGCTGTGCAGGCTGCGGGCTCTGCGCTGGGGGGACGTGTGCTGCTGGACGGCTCTCCGGGACACCCACACCGTCCACAGGATCAGCGAGTAGGAGGCGAGGATGAGGAGGCAGGGGAGGAGGTAGCAGAAGATGAAGAGGGCGAGGATGTAGAGCGTGGCCTCCCTGCTCGAGGTCTCCCAGGTGATGCAGCAGGCTGTCCCGTAGGGCTCGGGGCCGTAGCTGCCCCACTCGGCCAAGGGGGCCGTGGCGAAGGTCAGGGCGTAGGCCCACACACACAGCAGCAGCACCGCGGCGTGGCTCAGGGAGAACCTGTTCCCTGCGGCAGAGGGACTGGGGTGAGGGTGGCTTCTCGTGGTGGAGAGAGGGGACTGCAACCCCGAGCCACCCACACCTGCAGGTGCTGGCACAAGGAGCCGAGACAAACGTCAGGGTTGGCCCCAGCCCAGCAGCGAGCGGCAGGATCGGCCACAGCCCCTTTGGCCTCCGGGGGGGTGATCTCGCTGGGAAGGGGCTGCGTGTGACACGTGGGGACACACTGCACCCACAGCCCACGGGCAGCCAGCAGGGTGGCTGGGCAGCTGCCCCTGCCTGGGACATGGGGCAGGGGCAGGGCTGGACTGAAACTCTAGCAGAGGTGGGTTTTTTTAACTTTTTAACTTTTTAACTTTTGGTCCCCCCATCTCCCCCATCAAATCTCAAACTCTCTGATCTTCTAAAACTCACTATAAAGTGCTAAACCTTCAACCATACATAGAAGTAACATTTTTATTTGAAACTAAGCAACTAAAAGCACATTTTGATTATGCATTTCCTCACAGAAGGTGGGCTGGGCTGTAGATAAGCCCCCTGTGTCAGACTGCCCAGCACAGGCCAATGGAGAGCAGAAGCTGCTCAGGGAAAAGCCACCAGCACCTGGGCTACCTTTCAATAGCCAGCTTTCATCTTCATCTTTCCTCCCACCTTTTTAGTCACCTCCTGAGCTGCTGTGCTGGCACATAACCAAGGTGACTCTGCTCCAGCATCGCCCTTGAGGCACTGAAAGCTGCTGGGGACAAAGCATGCTGGTGGCTGGCAGTGGCCACTGGCTCAGGGCAGACTGGCAGTGAGTTGGGAGAGAGGGGAGAGGATGGACCCTGGGTGCTGGGCTGCAAATCAAACTATTACCTCTGATTTCCCATTTTATTTCTATTTTTGGTCTTTAATGCAAAGTGTATTCTGAAGATGCATGCTAGAAGGAGGATTAGCAGCTGAGCTGAGGAAATTAAGAACTCCAAATTAGAGGAGGAGCTGTGTAGGGAATGAGTAGAGAACACCCCTGGGCCCCCTTGCTTCCTCAGGTGCTCTCTGCAGTGCAAACATTCACCTTAGCTCTGTGGAGGACATCCAGGTGGAAACAGGGCTACAGACAGGAGCTACAACACTGCAAACCCAGCCCTCCTGTATTAATTATTTCACTGAATTATATACATTTGGCTTATGGCTCTCTCACCAGGGACTGGGGAAGGCAGCTCTTGTTGCTCTGCCAGAGTTTGTGGCTTCCCAGATGTAGAGTCTGCTCTGGTCTAAGCTCAAGTCTGTGAACGATTGTTCAAAAATCTGCAACCTGCTCTAGTACAGCTGTGTGGATGTGGCACCTTGAGGCATGGGTTAGTGATGCACTTGGCACTGCTGGACTAACAGCTGGACTCTGTGATCTTAAAGACTTTTTCCAATCTAAACTTGTTTCTGTGATTCTAAGACTCAGTGCACTGACTGGGAATGGGTTGCCTCCGGGCAAAACTTTTCCAGAAGAGGTGGATCTGACTCACTGCCAAAAAAAAAGAAAGGGGGCTCTGTTGACAGAGAGGGGTGTAGGTATGGATCAGGTAACGCATCCCAGCACTTACCATATGCTGGGTAACAGACCTTGAGGCAGCAAACCGTGCTGAGCACCGTCAGGCTGGCGAGGCTGCACAGCCCGAACAGGACCCCGCAGAAGGCATAGAGGGTGCAAACCGCCCGGTCAAACAGCCACCTGCGAGGAGAGCTGCAAGTGAACCCATCCCTCCCCCTGCCCAGGGCAGCTGGATGACAGCCCTGCCACAGGAGTCATCTCCATGGTCCCTGCTCCGCAGGGAGGCTGGGAATTTCCCAGCTGCTGGTCCCACACAAGCAGCAAAGCTGGGCACATGTGGGGTGGCTCCAATGGGCTGCACAGGTACCAGCACCTGACCGAGAAAACATGGGCGTGATCTCGCTGCTAATTTGTTCTCTGAGCACCCCAGTGACAAGGACAGATGGAGCCACAGGTGCAGGAGCTGCCCTGCTCCATGCTGGCACACACCACTGCAGTGCTTGTGCCACGTGGTGCCAGCTCGGAGATCAACCCCCCCCTTTTACAGCAGGTCTGTGTGAGGAACCAGAGGGACGGGGAGCAGCAAAGCACCCGCAGTGGGGTGGATGTCTGGGAGCTTACACAGTGCCCCAGTGCCACCAGGCTGAGGCCTGGGCCCCCCTGCACCCCCTATAAGGGATCTCCCCACTTCCAGACAAGGTTTGCAAACTGCCCCCTGCCACTTCCATGAGGTACCTGTGTGCAAAGAAGGAGGAGGTGGCCAAGGGGAAGAGCGTCACCGTCATGCTCAGGTCACTGATGGCCAGGTTGACGATGAAGAACTCGGCAGGTTTCAGCAAGGACCTCTTCTGATAGGCCACCAGCAGCAGCAGTGAGTTCCCAGAGAAGGACATGATGCCTGTGGAGAAGGCAGAGGAAGTGCTGTGTGTAACAGAGCCAGGAAGGGAACAAGGAGCATCTTGAGATGTTTGGAAGCAAATACCAGAGAAGTTTTATGGAGCCTGGAAAGGGCTCCAGGCTTCCCTCTCTGGACCCTGGGCTGAACAGGGGAGCCCATGGGACCCGCAGAGCTCTGTGAGCACATCTGGAGCTGCTTTACATTGGATCTGATCCCTTCCCCTTCCTGAGATCCTACAGAGGTGTTTGGTAGGAGGGCAGTGATGGGATGACACTGCAGTGGGTTCCGGGTGCAGGATCTGGCCAAAGTCACTTCTTCCAGCTGGAAGGAGCAAGGGGGACACTTCCTTCCAGCTAGATAAATAACAGGGGCTTTGTGCAATTGTCCTCTGATGTGAGGCCAAGGAGCTGGGCCCCTTCCCCTTCGTAATTTCTTCCTGGCAGTGTCACTCCTGTGACTCTGTGCTGTCCAATATCATGGTAACAAAACAAACAAGAAGAAAGGAACTATGAAGATCAAGGAAAATCCAGACTAAACAAAAGAAGGCTCTCTGTTTGCTATTAGTGTATTTAAATCAACAGTGGTGATTAAAGTTTTATAACAAGGGCTTTCTCTTTTTTATTATGTAATTGTGCTTTCATGGAAAAGAGGTTTCCGTGTCCTCAGAAGGGGAATCTTTGCTGCTCTTTAGGCAGGTTGGGCAGGATAAGAGTTTCTCCCTAATGGATTAGGCTGTAAATTAAATCCCATGGTAAGAACCAGCTTCCAAAGCTGCTGAATGGCCAACAATAAAGTTCCCCTCAGGAACAGGATTCTCACATGGGACCTGGCCAAATAAAAAGCTTTGGAGGCTTTGGACTTGCTGGAGGGCAGAATGCTGAGATGTTTGTCCTTCTTCCCAGCCTCACAAGGCATTTTTCCCACAGAGTGAGTCTCACATCTGTGGTAAGCACATTTTATCAGCTGTAGGTGCCTGCAGGACTGCTGTCAGTCCAGTGGTGTGAACCCTTTGGGTTCCCCGTCCTCACAGATGTAAAAACCTCTTCTAGCATTTGGGAGACAACTCGCTCAGGGCTCAGAAGACTTGGGAGGTTTTTCTTTGCCCATCATTCACTTCTGGCCCACACCAACCAGGTCTGGGCCACCTCAGAGCGAGGCCCAGCCCCTCAGTTTTGCCTGCTGGCTTTTCAATGCCACTAACTCCAAATCACAGAACCTTCACCAGCAGCTTCTGCTGAGAGCAAGGGCCAGCTCGAGGTCCAAATCCCCTTCAACAAACACGAAGCTGGTGATGCCAACAGAGTCCCTGCCCATCTCACATTGGGTGGCTGTGATAGGAGTTACAGCCCATTCCTCAAAAGTTATTCTTCAACTTTCCAAATATTTGAAACCATAGCAGGCACTTGCAGTTCCCCTGAGAGGGGAATGCAGTCACCAAGTTTTGGCCAGATCATCATTTTGAGTAATGTGGGAAGGGTCAGCTTAATTATTCTGCTAACGACTGGACACTTCTGGAAGCATCAGCGGCTGAAAAGGCCTGGACGTCTCTGGAAGGCAGGCAGGCAGCACCTGGGCTGCCTGCAGCAGGGACACAGGGATAACAGGCCTTTCCTTACCAAAGACTAAATAGAGTGTGCCAAAAATCAGGTCTTCTCTCTCCGATAAGGTGGAGGTGAACACCGAGATGTTGGACACATTTCCCATCTGCAAAGCAAGATACACATACAAGTGAGAGTGAATTCTGGCAAATGAAGGCGTGCTCAGCTCCCTTGGTTTCTGGGAGGACAGCTCTTGGTCAGCTGTGTGGAACCCCAGCCCCAGCTAACCCTGCCTGTGGCACCAACCCTGTGGAAAGGGAAGGAGGGAGGAGGTTTTGCTACTTACTCATCAGCTTCTAAGTTTCTCTTCAAAATTCTTTGAGAAAGTGACTCTTTCTTTCCCCTCAACAACAGATAAAAACGGTGCAGAGTTCCCACAGGCACATTTTGGATGTGTGCACTGAGATACCAGCCTGTGCCTCTGGGATAAACACACACACATTTGGGCAGCTATAGCTCTGTCTGGGGGACTGAGCCACTTGTTGCTCTGCCCATCTCTGTTGCAAGACTGCAAGGAAGGGATCTGCAGGTCCTGGTGATGAGAGCCCTGCAATGGTGCAAGTTGGGTGAGACCCAACTGAGGGGTCAGAGGGTTGCAGAGATGTCCCAGACTCCGGGGAGGCCCCCAAAGAGCCACTCACCCTGGAAGCAAGGTTGGTGCAGAGGAGAGTGAGTCCAGTAGGAGAAGAGGAGGTGGAGGGGCTGGAGGTTGCACACCCCAAGTATGATGGGGGCAGGAGGACATAGTCCCAGTGGTGAAAGGGGGCTCCTGGGTTCATCTCTTCCACAGAGCATCCTGGATGCTCAGTGCTTCACAGCCCAGCAGAAATAACCTCCTTTCCTCTCCTATGCTGTTCAGAGGGCAGAGATTTTCCACATGCAGGGACAGGTGATTTATATCTCCCTGTACAGACCAAGTGACTCTGGCCATGAGGACAACGTCCTTCATTAACCTAATCGGAAACAACCTTCATTTAGGGCTGGGCAAATCACTCCTGAAATTCTCATAATGCACAGTTCTCCCCTAGGCCATATTTCATCTTCCTCAAGAGTCCTTAGAAGCAGATGAGCTGAACACAGCACATGCACACAATCTCTCTGAGAGGCTTTAGCAAAAGCATCCGTTATAAACACGGAGCCAGGGAGAAAGGAGGGACTGTGGTCACACAGCTGCACTGGGGACGAGACAGGGCAAGGCCCACCACGAACAGTCTGGAAGGAATTGTTCCTGCTCCTCAGCATGCAGGCACACATGCAAAAAGGAAGAGAACTGGCCAAGCTAGTAGGTCTTTATTTCCTTCAGATCTCTGGCAGGTCTCCATCCTGCAATACGTCAGGGGAGCTGCAAGTGTCCTGTGAGATCAAGCTGGTAAAAAAGGACAATAATCTGAAGGAGAGGAACTTCTATTTCTGACATTACTTGGGATAGGCCTTATTTTTATGATTGTGCTTGAGTTACTTGTAAAGCACACATCACTCCCTGTAAGACAGAACTGATAAAAATGCACCTCTTGCACTGATCAATGTGCTGATGTCACTGACACACAGACAATAAATCAGTTTTATAGAAACATGGAGAGCTATCACTTTTGTGCCCGAAAGTAAATCATAAACTGGATCCTGTAAACTTGCCTGTGCAGCAGACAGGCAAGTGAAGCTGGGATCAGTACAGAAATTAGTGAAAAATCTCAGATTTTCCCCTGCTGCTTTCACTGAGGGCTTGTAAAATCTTCATCCCCCCCCAAAAAAAAAAAAATTAGGAGGTGGTGTACTTGTCTGAGCTCCTTTGTAGGGGGGAGTGCTGGGACCTCTTCTCACCTGGCCCCAGGAGGTGCTTACATGGTCTTCTTCCTTGTGGAAGCAAGACAGTGAGTAGTCTGCTTCCCTGGCAATTCACAAACCTGTTCTGGTTCTTCTTGTCCGCTGAAAACCTGCCCAAAGGTTCCCCTCCCACCAAGGTTCTCCCTCAGGTGAGCATGTGATGGGGGAAGCTTGCACAGGCCTCCCTCTCTGCTGTCCACTTTAGTGGATGGAGTGACAAGCTGCAGAAACATCAGTGCAGGTATTAAACACATTCACAATAATTTCTGACAGAAACAGCTACAGGAGTTTTCTTCCAACTCAGGAACATTTCAAACACATGACTGTGCTCAATGAAGACTGGATCTGTGGCTCCTCAGGGAGGGATTCAGCCGAGACTGTCTCCTCAGGGTAGCCAGCCAGCACAGCACAGCCCTTCAACATCAAACTGCTCAGCCACGTAGTCTCTGGGCACACAGAGCTGCTGCTGAATTTGATTTAAGCTCCATTGCTCAGACTCTGTTCTGAGAAGAGACAGACTGTGAAAGCTGCTTTCCCCTCAATTTAATCAGACTTCAAAATGAGATGAAGTTTTCCAAGTAGCTGCTGCCACAGGTACATTACCAGGAAACCCTTGTATTCTGCATCCCAGCCCTTATTCTTGTGTTCACAGGAAGAATCAAACCTAAACCTTGACTGACATCCCACGTCTATGTCTGGCACCTGGGAGGGCACTGGCATGGCTGGGCTGTCCTGGACACTCTGTCTACGTGAAAGATCATAGATTTTATTTCACGTGATTGTCGAGTTTGACCATTTCCCCTTCAGACTGGGACAGTTGCTTTTCTTCAGCCAACATGCCACAAAGCCATGTCTGCCTTGGAGAGGAGGAGGAGATCTGATGAGCCTGGAAACTCCACTGACCTCCAGACTCCTTCAATAGTAAAGAGCAGGAATCGATTTCTGCAGTTCCCAGCACAGGGGAAGCTCAGACATTGCTGCCAGCCTGGCAAATAGTGCAGGGCTTAAAATGTCACAGAAGAGCAAAAGAGCACAAACGAGAACTGCTCAGGATCTGAAGGACAGGCAGCCCTCAGACCCCTACCCAAAATCACGGAGTTCTCCTCTGCCAGGGCTGCCCATCCCCACCGACTACAGACAGTAAAATCTGCTTTTTGCTTCAGTTCCCTACCCGGGACTCTTGCAAGCTCCTTTGCGGGGGTACAACCCCACTCACACCCCGAGCGTGTCTCTTACTCACACGCGGGAGCAGCGCTCGCACCCCGGGCTGCCACTGCCGGTCCCTTGTCCCCGGGACACCCCCTGCCCACGCTGTGCCCCAGCACCCCCGGGAGTGTCCCCGCAGCCCCGGCTCATCCCCGGCCCGCGGGGCCGGGCTCCCCGCCCTGCTGCAGCCGGGGACACCCGGGGCACCCGCGGGAACGAGTCCTCCCCTCGCCCAGGGGTGCTCGGGGCACCGCGTCCCCCCGGGGCAGCGCGCTTCCCCCGCGCCGGGTCTCCCCTCACCTCTCCTGGGGGAGCCCCGGCCGCCGCCCGCTCTCGCCCCGCCGACAAGGGGAACTTAACCGGGACGGCGCGGGATCCGCCACAGCGCTCAGGCACCGCGGGACGGACAGCTTCCGGCGCTCCTCCCAGTCCGTCACCGCTCTCTGTCCTCCCGCACCGCGGCCTCTGTCCTCCCGCACTGAAGCTCGCCCGCCCGCGCTCTGCTCCGCACCCGCGCTCTGTCCCTCCGCGCACCGCGCTACTGTCCCTCCCGCCCCTGCCGCGGTCTGGGAGACTACTGAGGGACCGTCCCCGCATCGAGACGGCCCTGCGCTGCAGCTCAGCCGGGGCACACCCTTCCCCCCGCACCCCCTCCCACAAGCGCCCAGCCCAGCCCTAGCCGCTCCACCTCGCACTCACCCGGCCTCGGAGCCGCGACTTTCCCAGCAAGAGAAACTGAGGCACGAGGAGCGTCGTTTAAAGCAGCACTCCACGGCCTCAGCACCTCCAGGCTCACTTTTCCCTCCCCGGGGCTGTCCCCTCTCCTCCCCCCGAGGGAGGCGGGCCGGTAACTCACTCACCTGTCCTTGCAGACCTGCCGGGACACGGGGCAGGAGCCCACGGTGCCCTGTGTGGTGCTCCAAGGACATGCTCGGAGTGAGAGGGGGCACAAGGAGAGGGGGATCACTGCACTGAGCCTGTTGCCGTTGGAGCTGGGTATTGCTTTCCACCCAAAGCATTTTACCTGTCTCTGCTTGGCAAAGCACAAGCCACAACCATCACTTGAATGAGCATTTTGTCAATTCTCTCCACACCAGGAGCTTTCCCCTGGTTGCCAGTTAGAAATGGGAATAGCATCAAAATCTTCATATTCATTTTTAGAGCTCCAAATACTGTCAGCTTGGATTCAGGTGCTTAAACTTACTTCAGAAAGGAACCCCAAACCTGGAGAAATGCACAGCAATAGCCTTATGTCCTCTGTGTGCTTTGGAAAGAGGCTCCCTGAGAATCATTTATGGACTCACCAGCTATGTAAATAGATACATACTGAGATTATTATAAACTGAAAGTTAGTTGTTGTTTGTGTTCCAGAAGTACAAAAGGCCTCAGCCAAGTTTGAGGCCCTGTTGTACAGCCCCCCCACATGGCCAGAGTTAACCCAAAAAGCCCAACATCCATCAGGGATGTGCCCATTTTCCTTCTTTCACCTGGAATGGACCTGAGGGACAACATTCATGACACCCCAAGGAACAGAGAGTCCTTAGTAGCACCACAAGCTCAAAGAGCAGCAGCAGCACTTTCCACTCCACACTGTGCTGCCAACAGTTACTAAACTTTGTGGGCATGTTTGCACAATTGCATTATTTCTTTAGCATAGTTTCCTCTGGAAACTCACCTCCCTGTCAGTCTGTCTTTCCTCAGCAACACTGCTCCTCCCCAACAGCATTTCATTTGTCAGCCAATCTCATCCAGGTTTGGAAGAGGGACTGAAGTCTTTGAGATAAACCAAGTTCCTACTTGGTTTGTGCAGTGAGGCAAGACTCAAAGGAGCTGGCTGAGAAGGTGAGAAAGCTCAGTGGAGATGCCACAGAGGAGGCACAGACCTGGGTTTGCTGCCTCCCTTCTTGTCTGCAAGAGATTTCTCAGAAGAGATGGAGGTGATGGGACAGAAAACCAAACCTGTTCCGAGGAACCTGGCAAGTCATGTTATAGCCAAAAGGCAACCCAGCTCACCTCCTAAGGCCTTCAGCCAGCTCTGCACACAGTGACAAAGCCCCAGAGAGCTGCCTGGCTGTGCAGCTGCACCAATGGCACCTTATATTCAGTGCTGGATGCTCAGGCTTTCCCTCCCAGGGCAGGTGGCTGTTTCCTCCACACGCTGCCAGCTCTCCTGCTCCCCAGCTGCTCCGTGAGGATGTGGGTATCACTTTAGCACCAGGTGAAGAAGGGGCAGTGCAGCCCAGCTGCTCCCTGTCAGAGGGGCTTTAGAGTGTCCTTGCCCACCCTGAGCTTAGCATTTCTGAACTCCAGATGGTGGGAAGTAACCTGAAACTCATATCCCTCTGCCTTTGAGAAACCACCAGCTCAGCACCAGACACAGGACCCTTTCCTGGGACCACACCACTAAAATGCTGGCAGCACATCTCTGGCAGCATCAGAGATAAGGAGGAGATGAGACTTTGACAACCACTATTCTGGCTGAGTTTAGATCTCCTGCCCTGTGGTTCTGCCCCTGTGCTGGAAGGCACTGGCTGCAAGAATTTTTAAGTGCCCCGGTGCAGTCAGTAAGTAACTCCAATAACTGTGCACCCAACTCATATGTGCAAATACCACCACCTTTTCCACACAAAAGGGGCACTGACACAAAAGTGCTGCTTGTGGAGATGTGTGTTTGCAGTTCATTTCAGTGTGTAATAACTGCACATGGAAAGCAGACACACAGTGATGCCTCTGTCCTGTGTATCCCCCCCCAGGCCCAACAATGCCCCGCAGTGATGTCTGCTGAGAACTCTCCCCTCACTGCAGCATGTGCTCAGGGACAGTGAGCAGGGAAAGCTGCTGGTAGGACAATCTCTGGCCACTTTTTTGCACTGCTGGAGAAATGAAAAGCACTCCAGGGGTACCAAAGGGACATAGCAAAGCATCTGTTTCTGAGATAGCAAACTAGCAAATCAGATCTGTAAGAACTTAACTTAGATACTCATAAGACAAGCAAATATCAACTGGGGATAGAGAATATCCTGGAAAAACACTGGGAGTTCCCCAATACCAGAAGACTGGAATTATTCAAAAGGGGGAAAAAATAAAAGGAAGAAATAAGCAATAAGCAGATTGGTGTGGTGGAGAGTTAATTCCCATGCTCACTGTGCTGTGGAACAGGTGTCTGAGAGACCATCAAGCTACAGCAGCATTAGAAGAAAATTCAAGCATAATATATAAGATATTCTAATTGCTACATCTAATTATGAGGAAGAGTAAATCACCATGAAAAAATTATCTGTCAAACAGAGTATAAACATGTAATTGACAATCACACTGAGAGCTGTCATCCATTTTCAGAGGCTGCTGCTGCAGATACAAAGGCAGTACTTGTATCCATGAAGTAGAATAGTTCTGGACTTATTGTGAAGTCCTATTAACCTGATAAATCTTTTAATATTTACATAAACTTCATCCAAAAATTAAAACTCTGCCAAGCATATTTTCCAAAACTGAAGACAGGCATGAGTCTGCATTATCCAACTGGATTCACTAAGGCAGCTGGACAGATGTTTATAGCAGTGCTTTGTGAAATGTCTGTTACTAATCTAACTAAAAAAAAAAATCTTTAATTAGCCATTAATTTCCTCAATAACACAAAAGTCTAGCCTGAGAGTTCTCAAGCTTTCAGCATTAGGACTCTCAGTTTCCTTGGTTGCCTCTGCTTGCCTCAGTTTCCCTCATAGGAGAAAGCAGATCACAGGGATGTTACGAGGCACAACTTAAATTTCCAAAATGTGTTGACATCACTAGGTAGAGATCTGTTCTGAATGCTTCATTTTTATCTATCATAGTCTAAACAGAAAATCAGTCAGCAACACGCAAGTGCAAACTGAACCATTAGAAGAGTTTGCAAGAGAAGAGATGTTCAGCTTTTTCATTAAGGAGCAGTGACAGACACAGATTGGGAACATGTTCCATGGCACGAACATGGAGCCCAGCTGCAGCCTGAAGGACCACAGTCGTTTGTATGCAAATGACAGAGCTGAAACATGGATCAGTGACAGCACAGGTGTGCAGAGATTTGGAAGCACATTGCTCAATCTCCTACAGAGAGGATGGGAATACTTTTCTCTCTTGCACCCCTGGTTTGTTCCTGATGCATAAAGCAACACGGACTGCAAATTGCTCTCGTCAATAATCAAGCCAGGAGAGGCAAAAATAAAGTGACAGCGAGCAAGGTGCCAGGGCTCAAGTGGCAAAACAGCTCTGAGGATATTGTGCACAAAAGACATGCTATCAAAACTATTCATGAAAGAGAAAGGCTTTAATAACCACTTTGTGCTGGTCAGGGAGGATGGAGACTCTGGGGACAGCCTTGTCCTTCATGGTATTTCAGAGCTGTGTCCTTACCATCATCTCCCAGGCAGGTGAGCAGCAGGGTAAGGGGATGGAGAGGAGGAATTAGAACTGTTATGCCCCACAGTCACTCACCTGGGAAGCGGGAGGTTCGGGGAGCAGCATGAGGAGCCAGAGAAAGTGCCCTGGCAGGCCATGTCAGCAGGAGATGGAAATTCAAGCTCCTGTGCAAAAGGGGACAGTCATGAGTCTGAGAGTGACTACAAATAGCCCAGCCCCATGAAAGCATCCCATCATCAGCGCTGGGTGGTCACAGGAACATGAGCCAGCTCTGCTGCCTGAGCCAAGGCTGCTGTGCCCAGCATTGTCCAGGAGCTGAAAGGAGCCTCAGCCTTCAGCCAAATGAGACATTAGCTCTCACACTGAGCACAGAGACAACTGGGAGGAAGCAATCTTAATACTCGCCTGGGTTAATGACTCAGAGACCAGTCCACACAGCTGTGTCTGGCACTGAGGATATCTGCAGGAGCAGAAGGCTCAGTGCCAGATGCAAACACTATCTCCACCCTGCAGGCCAGTGTTAGTGGCCAGAGAGAGTGGAGATCCCTAAGAAACAGCTCTATTTTAAACATGGTGAGCAGCAACGAAATTGCCACATGTGGGGTAGAAAGGCCCGATGTGCAGGAGGGAGTGCTCACCCACCTGGCCAGTCACAAACACAGCACAGCACTGCCCAGAGTCAAAACAAAGGGTGGATCTTGCACCACATCCTCGCTAGGGATTCACTTCTGCTCGTTTGATGTTCTCCCTGCATGGCCACCAGCACAACTACAGCCCAAACCTGCTGGAACTAATGGAGAGGCTCTGGGTGGGATCCTTAGGACTCATTCCTTTGTCAGCACTTTGTATGTGCAGAGAAGGCCACGTGAGACCAAATAAACCATCCTAAACAATCATTCACCTACTCACAGACTGTTCCTGTGGTGCAACTGAAGTGAATTTCTGTACTGACCAAACACAAAAGTGTGGAACTGAAGAGAGGGCTTTGGATGCTGCTCAAGTGGCTGGGTTATGCCCCTTACAGAGAGGTCCAGACGGACTAAACAAAGCAGATACTTTGTAAGTCACAGCCCAGCTCCACTGCCGTGCATGAGCAGGGTGTCTTAGTGAAGCCTTATTGTCCCCACTTGGCAGAAAACTTGTGAAGACCAGTTTGAGAGGTCTCCAAGTCAGCCCAGCTGCAACTAAAGCACTGCATAGTACCACTCTTGGCTTCCACTCAGGCCACAAGAGCATTTAATTTTAGAGAGCAAACAGACAGTATAGACTAAAAGCACTGATTTCAATTGCATTCATAAAGCAGACAGCATCCCAAGCTTTAGAACAAACAGATCTCAACATAATCGGTGAGGTCACAAATGTTTCCCTAAAAGCATGCTCCTAATATTTGGCCTCAGTAGCAACAGATTGAAAGATGTGCTTGGTCAGATTTATAAACACACAGACATACAAAGAAAAAAATCACCATAAATAGGCACAGAAGAAAATTCTGAAACAAAATTGCCTGAATGTAGAGTGAAGTTCTCTGTAA